ACTACATTTTCGTGGACATATAACTTGGTGTAAAACCACGTCAGTACGCACGAATTAGATAGAAATAAATTCTTAATGAAAATTACTTAACAGTAATCGTCTGTGTCTTGTTAAACTTATGCTACATCAAAACACTGATAGCAGTTCTTGTTCGCCCAGTGTCAATATTTAGTTAACAACATTGATCAAATATACAAAAAAACTTCTCATACAGTTAGCACCGTCACAGTAGTAAATATTTTCTGCATATTCAATACCAATGAAATTACAAGACTGATAACAAATATTTCATAAATATTCATCATATTCATGTCTCAAATGAACAAAAAATTCAACACTGTTAATCATAAACCTCGTCATATAGTGCAATACCACAAAGCCTGTCTTAATATTGTTAGGTGTAATTATAACTGAAACTTCAAACCATGAAATATGCATTAGGTAATAACTTAATTATCTGGTCCAATTTCCGACGTGTCGTAAATCAACATGACACTGGTGAAATACATTCGGTTGAACGTCCTAACATACCTGTCTACAGAAGTGTCCTTCGAAACGTCAACAGTGGTAAATTTAAGTCACCAGAAACATTTCCAATATGAATTTTCAATCAAAATGTTCAGAAATAGAAAAGTTGCTGGATCGGAAAAAATTAGATCATACATTGTAGTTTCTGTCTTTAATAGTGTGTAGTTATCCACGGATAATTTTAAAATCAATAACGCTTTCTCATTAAATATAATCAATTTGTCATTTGGATAGGCTATCAAACCAGGCATTAGGTCAGGTTTGTAAAACAGGAACGTTGCTTAACACAGGCCAGGCATTACAACTTCACAATTAAGGATACGGTCGAATTTCATGTGAATAAAAAAAATTACCAAATTTGTCGAACATTGGAAAATAAGAAAACACATTTTCAAAACAAGATACGAATCAGAAACAAGTCTTGCCATATCAGATCGAATCCAGAAAAGAATGATTGATTAAAAAGTAACAGAATTCGACATCATAACATTAGTGTTTAGGCGTTTCATGACTTTACCATTAGCACCGTATAACAAACTAATTTGATTATACGAACACCACATCATATTTCTCTTCTCTGCTTCTCATCTCCTAATTTTAAAATGCTAAAATATACTTTGCTACTAACCAAAAACTTTTTAAAAATTGTCCAAGTTAGTAATTCCCGTAAAATCTAAAACAAAACGAGGCGTATGTTTGTCTGTGTATCCACTAGAAAACTAACCATTCCAAATCAATATGCCCAATTAAATGGAAATTTAAAGTTATGCACCTCTTTAAATAATTTAAAGTAGAAATATTTTACAATATATATATATATGATAAGTTTGCATATTGCATATTCATATACAATGTTTTACAATACTTAATACGTTCAAAAAACAATATTGATGAACATGTCAATAAATATTTTGTTTTTCTAAATTCGTCTTGTCACAACAAATCTTCACCTTTGAGTAATAATGATTGTCTTAGATCAAGTATATTTCCTTCCGTAAAAAGACTTTTAAAGTCTGTTGAAAGTAACCAATAATGTGTTTTAATGGATAACATTACAATCAAACCGTATTCTGCCAGTGACTGGTACCTTTTTTTTATCTAATGTCTATAACCTAGTCTTCAAACCATAAATATTAAAATCGCTTGTGTTATCGTTGGAGTATCTACTGTAAACATACGTATCATTATAAATCAGCTTTGGCAACATGCTGTTTTTTTAGGTTTTTGTGTAAAGAATATATTAGGTTTTAGATATGTGCATATATAGGCGATTCCCGTTAAACTACCATTTAACTTTCTTCTAAAGATTACTCCCAGAAAAGTGTGTTTAATGTCTGGATTCTCCATGCCTCAGATGTTTGATAAGTCATTCACACTTTGAAAATTCAATCATGAACTGCGTGATGTTGTTGATCTGGGACAAATAAATGTATCTTGGGAACAACGCGACATTTCACTAGCTGAGGAAACGATTTTAAATTGAATTGCCTGAAGCCATTTTCAGGCATGTTACGCGTTAAATGTATTTCAATGGACAAGAATTCACAGGTCTTACTCAATTTGTACTAAAGTAAATACAATATACAAATACCAGATATATCGCACTGCACGAATCCTTATTTGATAGAAGTTTGAGAAAACGTTATTCTATTATGTAAAGAAGTTACATGAGGAATCATTTTGTTGCACAATCGAATGAACGCTAGGAAGCACCTGTCGCAGCATGATTATGTTATCAATAAATCACGTGCAATTTGCTCGTTATCTACCTTTTCCAATCTTATCATCGACTTTTACATATCTTGCGCGTTTATTATGCGAAAGGGTTTAATGTACGCCTTCCAGCAGAGCATGCACAGGGGACTGATAAAACTGTTAAGGTTTTCAAACAGCAGCACTCCCTATGACAGTCACGTGTACAATAACTTGTTTGGACTAAGCATGCTATTGAAAACGTGATCCTGAACACGTTACTTACATAGAATTGTTTCGAACTTCAAGGACAACATGTTATTAAATATTTGTAATCTGATTCGAATCATGTCAACAGACATTCGTATACGTATGTCAAAACGTGTCAATAGAGGTTCGGAAACGTCAGTCAAAAGTTGTCAGTGAGTGAATGCTAATTAATTTATGTCAATAAACGTTCGTAAACATGAGTCAAAAGTTGTCAACAGACGTTTGTAAAATCAGAAGTGTTATCTTACGTGTAAAGATCTATCTCGACCCACTAATAAGTGTTACAAGGACTTAACGACATACTTGCCACCAGAATAGTAATTCAGTTCAAACAATGCAATCAGTAACCATTAATAAAGTTTTTAAACATATCTTTTCAGTATCTAGGGAACATTGTCACTCCATACCAGTATGGCAAATTCGATTTGAATGTAATTACAAATAATGATAATGGGAATATGCAAAAAAATTACAAATATGATTCCAGTAAATACGGACAACGTCAAAACCTGGTAAAATAAAAACAAAAAAGTTTTCGGGACGAAAAAAACTTTCCAACATTAAAACACTAGTGACAACATCAAAGGTAAAACACATTGTAATTGTCTCTATTCCACAGGCCAGTGACATACAGCCCTAACAACCTGTATCAATTATTGATAAACGTGGTAATTCTGTGGACTGTCAGGTAAACATTATTTCTGGACATTATTGATTAATACACTATTAACCAGCATTTAGACCTGTTTTATCTCACAAACAGTTATACCATATATATCAATGATAAACACTGAGTGGAAAAAAATAAAACAAACTAATAAATTTACTTCATGGTAACCACTATAATACATGTAACTATGTCAAATGTTTTATTCAAGAGATAGTAGTTTCCTATTCAATTTAGACTTCTATCAATCTCTACTTCTGATCCCTACAAAATGTAGGCCATCGATTTTTCCTATATAGCTGTTTTATGTTGATTAATAACATTCCAATTTAAAGGCGCAACCTAACGGTTTTCCTAGTGCGACGATTTGAACCAAATTGGCTGTTGTTTATAATATGCCTTGAACGTTTCCTCTCACAGCAAAACGGTCGCTGAATGTGTTGAACTGCAGTCAGAGTAACTGTTGAGGAAATTTGAGAATGAAACTGTATATCGATACTAAAATCAATTCTTCTTTTAAAATCTAAACATATTTTTTATTCTATGATGGCGTGCATAGTCACTTCCTGGCTATAACAAACTCGTAGTGACCGTACCGCGAGGGTAAGCGAGCCATTTCTTGTTATCATAAAGCCAAAATAACCATAAATTTAGAATGAGAGAAGGCCATTCCTTATCATTACAATGTCAGAGAGGACATTGCTGGTGTGGTGTAGGTTCATTACGAGAAGTCTAACCACTTACTCCTACCATTTTATACCAAAAAAGCTGTTAATCACAGCTCGGTGTTCATTTAAACTCCATATACTGCTGGGCTACAGTTGATCACTGCACCATCAGGCGCCATCAGTTAGCATGATAAAATCCCAAACACACAGCTGGAGACAACAATGTTGATGTTGATCAGACTATGTTCGACCAGTTCGAAGTCTGATGTCGATCATCATTATAGATTCCGAGATGTGAGTTTTATTTAATACGAATTTTAGCCAATATTCTTTGGACCCTTTCCTTTTTAGATTTTTACTAATTATGTTTTTGTATATAAGTTACAAATCTAATATCTGTTCACTCAAGTTAATTCAGCTATATCTTCGATCAGCGAGGATCTCTATGTAACTTTGGTTAAGGTCGTATGTAACCCAGAACATTTTATGGTGTTACCGTCGTACTATAATGGTAACCAAAAACATACAATGCGTTAATGTGCGTTGATCAATATTGAGCAAAAACATAATTTATCTCAATGTTAAATATATATGACACTTTATGGGTGTTTTCACATAGACTTTCTTTTTATATATCATAAATGAGAACATTGTTAATTGGAATATCGGAGACCATGCAGTACTATCTAACCTAAAAAAAGCAACTTGATAATTCGACTTAATAGAAATATCATGGACTTATAATGTAGACAGGAATATCGGAAAATCGTATCGCGGACAATTTATTGGAAACAATGCTTCCGGACAAATAAAAATGTAAAAATTTATTAATCTAACCATGATGATGTTTGTGTAGATTAGAGGCTGTTGACATCGTCACAAACACCTGTGGTACTGACCATTAACAAAATACATGTGATTGGATTAGAAAACAATGCAAAACCTTTGCCGTACCAAAAAATGTAATAAAACCAAATATCACAATATCTCACCTGGTCATCTGATAAGTACAGCTATCGTGGAACAAAAATCACATTAAATGACTGAAATTTCAGTCAAAATATTAAATACAGATTATCTGAGATCATGTTCGAACAAATAATCAACATGCAGTTTTTTTTTACACAATTTAAAAATTGTAACAAACTACCTGGTCGAACGATACAACGCATTATTCAGGCTCTCATGGAAGCAAGGCTGGGCACGTGAACCAGTGTCGTTAATGTGGCCGATTTTTTTGGCGGTGACACCGTGTTTTGTATGTTTTTCTCGTCCAGGTCTGATTCTGTACTGCTCTGACGTATGATGCCTTCTTTGATGGCTGCACACACACTTCCTCTCCGCGATTCGTTCGCGTACTCTTCACGTTCTCTTCTCAAACCAAGGATAATCTTAAGCTGTTGTCGAGCTACATTACTTCTGAACACGTACACAAAGGGATTGATGGCACAACTCGACATAGCCAAGAGTATGGAAATCAGTTCTAGGATAGGATAAATGACGTTCGGGTCGTTGAGAACCGATTCTAGCACAATGATAATAAAGTAAGGTACCCAGCAAATGATAAAAGTAGAGACAACCAGAAGACTGGTAAGCGCCGTCTTCCATTCGTCCTTATGCCATGGAAGAGGTGCTATACGACTTGACGAACTAAGGCGCCGCACCAAGATGGGCGCCGTACTCGACCGTCGTCTACCGTCTCTTAACGGGGTCTGAGTTCCGTCGTCTATACTATTTGAGGGCACTATACTGTTTCGTCTGGTTCTTTCGAAATTGTTTTTCGCCGAGCGAAATATGGCTACGTAAGAGGCCACCAGAACGATGAGAGGCAAAATAAAAGTGACTCCGACCAAATACAGTGTGTAGTATCGGGCAAATGGGTCCCTGTTCATCCAAAGTACAGTGCATGAAGCTTTGTCCGCCTGGTAAACATAACTGTTCCATCCCAACAACGGCGGAAGTGACGCAACCACCGCGGCAGTCCAAACGGAAATAATCATAGCAATGGAACGCTTGGAAGTAACTCTCATAGTATAGTGCAAGGGCATAGCTACTGCACAGTATCTGTCAATTGAAATAGCAACTAATGTCAGGGTACTGGCCGCAAACGTTGTATTCATTAAAAATCCGGTGCCGCGACACACCACATCTCCAAAAATCCATTCCTTGGAAATGAGTGAGGCGAACATAAATGGCATCACAAACAGCGTATTGAGACAGTTACACACGGACAGGTTCATTATAAAGCGATTGGAAATCGTAAGAAGTGCAGGACGTTTCATAAATATTAAAAACACCAGCATATTACCAGCAATGCTGGATAGAAAAATCAAAAGTAAAGATAATGATGTCAACACTAATTTGAACGTCCGCAGCGCATCAATGTCTGTCCGGCATCCATTCAGCACCAAAGCGCTCACTGAGTCATTACAGCTGGTATTTTCCATATTTGTTATTGAAGGAATGTAATTCTACAGAGCTTTTAAACTTTATCTTTGATATAGATTTTAGTCAAGTGGGCCATTTGGCAGTCTCTCGCGAATCTTGGTAAGAAACCCCCAATGTTGCCAAACTCAGCTAGCTGTTGGTCGCTACAGTGGCAGTTCTGACAACGCGATCACTGTCACTCTACGGGTATCTTTCATTCACCTAATGTCCACGTGGTACAATTAACTCGATGTTTCCTGGCTATCACACAAGAAAGTGACGGTCGATTGTGTTATTCATTGAGAATGGATCAGCTGGCCTCGATGTTTCCCGGTAGAACAAAGCCTTGATGAGTTTAGCTAATTTCCTGCCAGAAGACGACGAGATTCTCAAATACTAACTTCACCAGTCTGTCACTGTATCGTAGCTTCACGCCTTTGGGCTTCAGTTGGTCAGGATTTGACCGAGGTGAGATGTCCCTAGTGGTATCTAAACTCATTAAACTCTGGCGACATCCCTAACCGAAGGTGATCAGGGTCGGGTAATCACGTGCAGTTTCCTTTAACAATCGAGCGTGTGATATCTCGTCTCTAAGCAATACCGACACGCTGTCAAAGCACCTTCATCATCTTCACCAATCTAATTGACTCTCGTGATGTAATTTGGAATTACGGCGACTCTGATTCTGTACAATAGGCTGACATCAGCTAACGTATATTTGTTAAGATATTAGACCGCCGAGCAGAAAACCTTTTAAAAACTCCGATATTTTCTGAAGCAAAACACCCCTCAGTTAGATTGCTGTAGTGAAAATGTTATGCAAAATCAAGTCTCAATGTTTGAATTTTACTTACTACATAAATTCCGTAACTCACAAGGTATTTTGCTGAGTCCTCCTTTGGCATCACAACTCAGGTGATATGTCCGTGCACTGCACATAATTGAACACTGATCTTCACAACGTAGCTCAATTGCAGCCCTTATCCTGTAGTGATCGAACCGCCAAACAGCTACTGCGGTGTTATGTTTTCCCCGTACTGGGCCACAGAGAGCGAGAGTATCGGTAGTAAGTGCGGTCGATGCTGATGGTGTGCTTGTTTGCTTCGCTCTGCTGTGTATCTGCTACCCAACGTTATATAACGGCTTGGTAGTACCACCATGTGGTGAACATGTCAAGCTGTGCAGAGTATGGCGCGTGTTGGGCAACAGTGGTGCCGTGAATGTGCACAGGCTTTACGTGTTCGGTCTGTGATTCATCAATGACAACGAAGGGAAACACTGGGTCTGTGATGGATCACCCTCACCAAGAGCTGCTCCAGTTGGGACTAGACCTGTAATTGAAAAACAAAATATGGCAGAATTAAACAGGTTCTAAATTCTCTAAAAAATAAATTATATTCATGCAGTTTGGTTTTGACGCTAGACTTTTTTACTGTCTTCTCCTATATAAAGAAATACCAGATATTGTATAACATCGGCTTAATATGCTCTCAAATTCCATGTAGAACTCACCAATCCATTACCTTTAAGGCGATTATATCATACGCTTTCTGAAAAAAAAAACCATAAAAATTGAAGCAATCAGTCAGCTTGTTGTAAAAGGCCAAAGTCCACATCGATAAAATAAGCATATCCCAATAATTATATCAGAGGGAAATAACGCCCCAATGGCTGTCAAAACAGAAACAGATCCCTGTCAGAACAAATCGAAGTATATTCTGTAAAAGTAGACTGAATGTTGGGCTGATTTTTTTTTTTTTTTTTTTTTTTTTTTGCACTTTGCAGTAGATTCTTCAAAATCAAATATTTGATATAAATTTCGGTTCCGCTTCGAAATGAAATGCAGCGACATATTTCTTGTCTCCATTCTTTTTATTCATATCTGCAACTAAAAGAAGTAATGCATATACTTTGTTAAAACACGTTCTAAGAAACATGCACTGAGGTAGGATGCACTATTTACGAAACATGTTAAAAAATTGGTTTCGGTTTCCGGGACGATTTGTATAAGATAACAGGAAACGATTTACAGAGTTATTACATTGTGTTTATCCTACACACCAAGACATGCTTCGATAGTTCCAATACAGAAAGTCTCATTCGCAAGTCCCAATGGCAGATAAACGCTCTGTGGAAACGTACTCAAATTATTGGAATGATTTGAGGAATTTTATATGTATGAAACAAAGATAAAAAAATTTTCACGTTATTCGCATTGCATACACAACTCGTTGAACAACGCTTGCATTTCATCGGCGTTAGAAGACATCCAATCTATAAATATTCACAAAAATTCTTAATCGAGGGCTACAGAAGTTTTTGAACAGAAGACCGTCGCTGCATAAAAATACCCACTAACTATATACTTAGCCTGGAAGATGAGGAGGATTTAAAGAGAAGACATCTAGTAATCGATATATATGCTTAGTGTATAGATCTATTCCAGTGCCTCTGTTTGTTATCGATGATGAAATTCTGGTTTGTAGCCAATCCATCATATTGCTATCACTCCGATAATCAATTAGCATATCTTAATAATTCATGTTAATAGACCGTAGACATAAATATGTTTTATCTTTGTACAAGCTCCGGGGAAGCTGTATTGATTATGTGAAGGATAGAGATGGATAAACGTTCAGGTGACCAGGACTTTCGTGCGAAAATAGTCTTAATGAGTTATGTTTTGTTTTCATGCCATAAGCGACCAGAATCGATGACGAGAAGAAAGCGTCGAAAAGTATCAGACATACAAACACTCCTTCGTTAATAATCATTTTTTGAACCCAGTACATGTACATGTATTCTGCACCCCTTAACAAACTGTAGTAATTGTCCTGTCCACGTAATTGATTCTAGAACATGTACACAATTGTACCATTACCCTTTATGGGCAGATTCCAGTACCCTGTACAGACGTGGGCCCAGTACCCTCTTTAATGTGCCAGGTTCTAGTAGCCTGTACAGACCTGTACCCAGTATCCTCTGTAATATAACAGATTCTAGTACCTTAACCCAAGTTTACCCAGGTACTCTCGATCATATACCCGATTCTAGTTACCCTCTTCGCAAGTGTACCCGGTACATTCTATAATATACCAGATTCTGGTATGTTCTACGCGTGTACAATGTACCTGTTTCCCTCTATAGTTTACCAATTTTTGTTATCATGTACAAAGGTGTACCCAGTATCCTTTATAATGAACAAGATTCTAGTACCTGTACATAAGTGTACCTATTACTCTCTACCTTATACTATGTACAAGTACTCTGTACCCGAACGTACCTAATAACCTCAGTAGTACAGTTGATTTTAGTATCCTGTATTCAAGTGTACAAGGAACGCTGTATAAAGATATTTGTATACAAGGTTTTAGTAGATGATAACGTGTACCCAGTTTCGAATAACTGAATTCTGTAAATAAATAACTAATATTTTATTATCCGTCACTCGCGAGTTGTTCCAACTCTGAGAACATCAATAGATGTTATGATTTTGTAATATATTCTGTCAACACTGCCAAGAAAAATGTTCGTGTGGTGTCTACACTGCGGAACGCTATGGCTAGAGTCCCAAGACCTCGATCCCTCTCCACAAGAGAAAAAATATTGTACATTTTACTGCCGACAACTTGTTAGAAGAGTTTGAGACTCAAAGTGCTATCGACCTGAAATAAAGTCTATTATTAATACATTCTTATTAAATGTAATCATGGCGCTGATTGCCATTGTTATTAGATACGTACACCTAGTTATGGCCTAAAAGCGGTAGAATCAGAGACATTTTCGGCTTACAGAAACTAGAGGATTATTAAAGAGATCTTATAACATTAATCTGACACTGTCCTAGATAAGACCAGTTCAGACCTTAACAGGCAATTTTATATCTGTAGTACCTGCGTGTCAGGTAGGTACTGTCTTAGATCAAATTGTCTAATCGATACGAAATAATGATATTGTCTTTGTACTTAAGTCTGGATCTATCCAATTTTGTTCAGGTGAACTCTGTATTAACTAGGAGATGTAGTAAGACACCAGAAAAAAGAGTAATGCAGACATTGTATATAACGATGCTGGAACTAGGGTAAAACCCTTAAAGCATTGAACGAAATTATTTGTCTTCTATAAAACGTAAACAATGATAACGACTTCTTTCTATTCTCCCACATAAACACATAAGGGAAGTGATGGGGCGGAGTGTGGATGGGGGATTTTGAAAAAATGTGTTACTACAATGTCTCATTTATGTAAATCATTTTTGGACGGACCGTTATGCAATAAATGTTTCCATGTTGAAATGCCAGGGAGTTTTTTTTAACACAGACAAACTATACCGGTTTCCGTAAGTATGTAGACAACACCATTGATTTATTTTAAGGTCAGTAGTACGGGAAAGATAACCCATTGATCAATAGTACTGATATATAGAAATGGCGTGTACCTCTATCGATAAGGTTATGTAACTATATCGTCAGTACAGACAATTGTCAGTACTTCACATCAGAACCATGCTGTACAGACAATTGTCAGTACCTCACATCAGAACCATGCAGTACAGACAATTATCAGTACATCACATCAGAACCATGTTGTACAGACAATTGTCAGTAAATCACAACAGAACCATGTTGTACAGATAATTGTCAGTACATCACATCAGAACCATGTTGTACAGACAATTGTCAGTACCTCACATCAGAACCATGTTGGTACAGACAATTGTCAGTACATCACATCAGAACCATGTTGTACAGACAATTGTCAGTACATCACATCAGAACCATGCTGTACAGACAAGTACATCACATCAGAACCATGCTGTACAGACAATTGTCAGTACTTCACATCAGAACCATGTTGTACAGACAAGTACATCACATCAGAATCATGCTGTACAGATAATTGTCAGTACTTCACATCAGAACCATGTTGTACAGACAATTGTCAGTACTTCACATCAGAACCATGTTGTACAGACAATTATCAGTACATCACACCAGAACCATGTTGTACAGACAATTGT